CACACGCACATCCCAACCACAGTACACCCATCCACATCACACTACACTTACCTGTATGTACACCTTCCTACACCATCTTACACCACCCCACACCCAACCACCATCTTACACCACCCACACCCACCCACACCATTTTACACCACCCCACACCCACCTACACCCCCCCACACCACCCCACACCCACCCACACCCCCCACACCACCCCACACCCACCCACACACCCCCCACACCACCCCACACCCACCCACACCCTCTACACCACCCCACACCCACCCACACCCCCCACACCACCCCACACCCACCCACACCCCCACACCACCCCACACCCACCCACACCCCCACACCACCCCACACCCACACCCCCCACACCACCCCACACCCACCCACACCTCTCACACCACCCACACCCACCCACACCCCCCACACCACCCCACACCCACCCACACTCCCCACACCACCCCACACCCACCCACACCTCTACACCACCCACACCCACCCACACCTCTACACCACCCTACACCCACCCACACCCCCCACACCCACCCCACACCCACCCACACCCCCCACACCACTCACACCCCACACCCCACACCACCCCACACCCACCCACACCCCCACACCACCCCACACCCACCCACACCCCCCACACCACCCCACACCCACCCACACCCCCCACACCACCCCACACCCAACCACCCCACACCACCCCCACACCCCCACACCACCCCACCCACACCCCCACACCACCCCACCCACCCACACCTCTCTACACCACCCCACACCCACCCACACCCCTCACACCACCCAACCCCCCCACACCACCCCACACCCACCCACCCCCCACACCACCCCCACCCACCCACACCCCACACCACCCCACACCCACCCACCCTCACACCACCCCACCCACCCACACCCCCCACACCACCCCACACCCACCCACACCTCACACCACCCAAACCCACCCACACCTCCACCACCCACACCCACCCACACCCCCCCACACCACCCAAACCCACCCACACCCCACACCACCCTAAACCCACCCACACCCCCACACCACCCCACACCCACACCTCTCACACCACCCCACACCCACCCACACCCTCTCCACACCACCCCACACCCACCCACACCTCTCTCACACCACCCCACACCCACCCACACCCCTCACACCACCCCCACACCCACCCACCCCCCCACACCACCCCACACCCACCCACACCCTCTACACCACCCCACACCCACCCACACATCTCTACACCACCCCACACCCACCCACACCCCCACACCCACCCCACACCCACCCACACCTCCCCCACACCACCCCACACCCACCCACACCCCCACACCACCCCACACCCACCCACACCCCTCCTACACCACCCCACACCCACCCACACTCCCCACACCACCCCACACCCACCCACACCCCCCACACCACCCCACACCCACCCACACCTCTCTACACCACCCCACACCCACCCACACCTCTACACCACCCTACACCCACCCACACCTCTACACCACCCCACACCCACCCACACCCCCACACCACCCCTACACCCACCCACACCTCCCTACACCACCCCACACCCACCCACACCTCTCACACCACCTACACCCCACCCACACCTCTCACACCACCCCACACCCACCCACACCCCCACACCACCTCACACCCACCCACACCCCCACACCACCCCACACCCACCCACACCCCTACACCACCCCACACCCACCCACACCTCTACACCACCCCACACCCACCCACACCTCACACCACCCCCACCCCACCTCTCTACACCACCTCAAACCCACCACACCTCTCTACACCACCCACACCCACCCACACCTCTCTACACCACCCTAAACCCACCCACACCCCACACCACCCTAAACCCACCCCACATCCCTAAACCAACCTACACCTTCCTAAACCTTCCTAACCTTATATCCACCCACACCGCTCCACACCCAGTCAATCCTTCTTAAATCCACCCCACACATCCCTACACCCACCCACACCTCCCCACATCCACCCACACCCATCCCACACATTCCTAAAACAACCCACACCCTCTCTAAACCCACCTACACCCAACCCACATCTCCCCACACCAACCCATACCACCCTACACCCACCCATACCTCCCTTTCACCCATTCTACACCCATCCCACACCCAACCCATACCATCCCACACCCAACCCATACCATCCTACACCCAACCCATACCATCCTACACCCACCCTATACCATCCTACACCCACCCATACCATCTCACACCAACCCATACCATCCTACACCCAACCCACATCCTACACCCACCCCATACCATCCTACACCAACCCATACCATCCTACACCCAATTTATTCCTACACCCATTCTACACCCATCCACACCCACCTGGAAGCCGTCGTAAGTCCAGGAGCCAAATTTCATGACACAGGTCTGTTCGTCGAAGGGGAAATACTCCACATCTATCTCACACGACGACTTGTAGATGGCTGGCGGCTTCCACTCCACCAAGCCGTTCATGTGGAGGGTCGCCTTGAGGAGAGCGTCACCTCGAAGTTACCGTCCGCACTACAGGGGGAGGGAGAGTGTGGAGGAGGGGTGGGAGGTGAGGGTGAGGTGTGAGGGAGAGAGGTGAGAGGGAGAGAGGGAGAGAGGGAGAGGGTGAGGGAGAGGAGGAAACAATAAGCGTTAGTTATTCTATATCTGGCATAGCCTACTGTACAACACACACACACACACACACACACACACACACACACACACACACACACACACACACACACACACACACACACACACACTACAATAATAACTACACTACCTACGTTAACAAACAAACAAACGAATGTAATACGATAAAACAAACACAATTACAAACAAAAAACACGACAATAGCATTACAAATAAGCAAACACAAACACTAGGATAAGCAAGTTACAAACAAGCAAAGAAACATACAAAGAAAAGGCTAAAAACATACACAAAAACAGTAAAAGGTAAACAAACAAACACAAGAAACAAACAAGAAATGAAGAAAACAGAAGCAAACAAAGAAAAAAAAAATATCTGTTGGATCTTACTTGAAATTTTTTGTAAGAAATTGATCTCTTTTATTTGTTTACTTTTATCATTGTTTACTTGTTTATTTGTTTGTTTTTTGTTGACTTGTTTGCTTGATTTACTTACCTGAGTAATGTGTCCATGATTGATTTGTAACTCTCTCTCTCTCTCTCTCTCTCTCTCTCTCCTCTCTCTCTCTCTCTCTCTCTCTCTCTCTCTCTCTCTTTTCTCTCCTTCCCTCCCACTCCCTCCTCCCTCCCTCCTCCCCTCCCTCCCCTCCCTCCCTCCCCCCTCTCCATTTCTATTGATAATTCTTGGTACTGAATCACTCCAATGTGTCACTTATGCCAGACCTGTGTTGATGCTGGGAGGTAGAGTGGGGAATGAGGGAAAAGAAATGAAATAGGTGAAAATAGAAAAACGTTGAAATCGGGAGAGTGGAAGTGAGTAGTAGAGAGAGTGAGGTGAGAGTGAGGGAGTGAGGGTGTGAGGAGAGTGAGGTGAGAGTGGGAGGTGAGTGAGGTGAGGTGAGGCAGGAAGAGTGAGAGTGAGGAGGTGTGGGAGTGAGGGTGAGGTGAGGAGGTGAGGTGAGGGGAGAGTGAGGAAGAGTGAGGGAGAATGAGGGAGTGAGGGCGAACGAGGGAGAGTGAGGAAGAGTGAGGGAGAATGAGGGAGTGAGGGCGAACGAGGGAGAGTGAGGAAGAGTGAGGGAGAATGAGGGAGAGTGAGGAAGAGTGAGGGAGAGTAAGGGAGAATGAGGGAGAGTGAGGAGGAATGAGGGAGAGTGAGGAAGAGTGAGGGAGAGGCACTAGGACAGATCAGCCTTAATAATCAATGTTTACTAGATTCATCTCTCTCTCTCTCTCTCTCTCTCTCTCTCTCTCTCTCTCACGTTCACAGGTACACCATAACGCTCACAGGTACACCATAACGTTCACAGGTACACCATAACGTTCACAGGTACACCATAACGTTCACAGGTCACTAGCTCTCATAAAATGGCGTTCAGATGTGATGCCGTTCACATGATAAGCTATCCACATATGGTTTCTCTCTATATGTTACGTCGTTCTTTTAATGCCGTTCATTTTTTGTGTCGTTCACAGGAAGGTACTGCTGGGGCCGATTAAAGGGAGGGCCGTTTACTGTTGAGCCGTTAACAGGAAGGGCCGTTAACGGGAAGGGCCGTTTACAGGAAGGGCCGTTTACAGGAAGGGCTGTTTATAGGAAGGGTCGTTCACTAGTGAGGCCGTTCATTGCTGGTGCCGTTCATAGGTTGTACAGATTACAGGTGGGGCCGTTCACAGGTGGTAGGTAAAGACCGCATCACCTTCAAGGGTCAAATATTTAACGAGCAAAGTCTAGCATAGTGGTTATTATTATTATTATTATTATTATTATTATTATTATTATCATTATTATTATTATATTATTATTATTATTATTATATTATTATTATACTATTATATTATTTACCATTATTATTATTATTATTATTATTATTATTATTATTATTATTATTATTATTATTATTATTATTATTATTATTATTATTAACTATCTATATTTTCTTCATCTTTTTATATCTCTTTTGTTTTTTGTTCTGTTAATTTTTTGTGACCGACATACATACATACATACATACATACATACATACATACATACATACATACATACATACATACACTTAAACACACATAAATATACAAAAACCTCATTGACTTACTAACTTTAATACGAATTTGTTACCTTTGAAAGAAAACTATAGTTGGTTTTTAAATTCCATACAAAATAAGAATACTGTACCTGACTCCTAGAAAATGAAGGCAAATTTTTATAAGTAGACTACCAGGGATTTTTGGTTGAGCAATGTGTTTATCCGATAATTAGACAATGTTGAAGCACTTTTCTTCGATGGCGTTTCCCTCGCATTTGACTTAAAATTAGCTAACCTAACCTCCTAACCCAGGGGGGGGGGGCACATTACTCAACCAAAAAATCCATGGTTATCTACCTGTAAAAACTACCAAAATGGAAATAACAAGCAGAGATAGAATATAAAATGGGGTATTAACATCGTGCAAGACTATATCAAGAAAACACAGAGGACGGTAATTAAAAAAGATTATATTAGTTACCGATATACTGTCAAAGAGACGGAAATGGTTTATCCTTCATAGAAAATGGAAGTATAGAGCAAAAGAAATGAACCATACACACACACACACACACACACACACACACACACACACACACACACGTTAAACCAAACAAGATAAACAGAAGACAACATCAATAAACAACTAAAACAAAGAAACACCAAAACACATAAACATAAATATTAACAGCAAACCACATATTAAAAACCACATTAAATAAAACTAAATCAATAAAACACATAAGAAGACCAGGAGCCCATTTTTGCCTTATACTTTGACAACTTTTGGTAGGGCTAAAAGTGCTCTAATGTTTGGAATGCCGTATGACTGCCCACTGTCAACACAATCTGATGCAACGTCGATACTGAGTTAGTGGCACAGGTTATGACCTTGTGGTGTGCAGGGTGAGTATTGTTTAGCTATTACGAAAAATCTGTCTGTGTTATGCAAAAAGAGGGAATAATAATAATAGTAATAATAATAATAATAATAATAATAATAATAATAATAATAATAATAAAACAGGTGTATTAAAGTACATTAAGTACAGTACAAGTGGTTAGGCAGAGTATAGGGGCACAGATGGTGTGTACATGTACTCATTATGTACTTAATTGATGAAAAAGTACAGTAGTATACATACAAACTATCTGACAACTTTATAAATTACTTGCAAGAGAGTACAATGTACTGTAGTACAGAAGGACTGGTGCACACACACACACACATGCAATAAGCTATAGTACATCTACGAGAGTACACAAAAACTACCTGGAAGAGTACATGACCAGACAAAGTACATGTACAATGGAGGTAGCAGAATGTACTCACTTGCTGTTGAGTACACAAAAGCTAGCTCTACACTAGTACACAGGTACATGTTAACACAGCTCTGCAAAGTACACAACGGTTACAAGAAGGAGTACATCACCAGGCAGAGTACACATGAGTACACAAGATGCAGCAGGATGTACACAAGAGGGATTAGTATGTACAAATAGGCAATATGAATTACTGCACACGGGAGGTAATATGTACACGAGAAGTACTCATATGTACACAAAAAGTACTATGGTGTACACAATAAGTAGTAATATATAAACATGAAGTACTCATATGTACACAAGAAGTACTCATATGTACGCAAGAAGTACTCATAGGTACACAAGAAGTACTCATATGTACACAAGAAGTACCCATATGTACACAAGAAGTACTAACATGTACACAAAAGGAAGTTGCAAGTACACATATAATATTATGTACACCAAAGGTAATATAATGTACACAAGAGGCAGCAGAATGTACACAAGCAGTACCAGAGATGTACACCAAAAGTATTAAAGATGTACTCACTTATTATAGAGTACAATATCGGGTCTCCAGATGTGGTCAGAAGGTACGTGTAACATCTTGACGCCGCCGTACTCTGCTGGGTCCCATATGAGCTTGTAGTCATACCAGTACTGCGGGCGAGGGGGTGTTAGTTATGTACACACACTAAGAGATGTACACACACAAAGAGATGTACACGCACAAAGAGATGTACACGCACAAAGAGATGTACACACACACACACACACACACACACAGGTTTCTAGAGAAGCTTGTCTGCGCATTAGTACTGTAATAATAATAATAATAATAATAATAATAATAATAATAATAATAATAATAATAATAATAATAATAATAATAATAATTATAATAATAATAATAATAATAATAATAATAATAATAATAATAATAATAATAATAATTAACGGTTTACTGAAAGACCATGGCAGCCGGAAGGCTGAAAATATACAGTTACATAATTGGGGAATGGATTTCTTGATTTACAAATAATATACAAGTAACATAACTGATACAAATATGATATATAATAACTAGGTGTGGAGAAGGTCATACTACAGGGCATTTCAACAGAGTGACAGTGCAAAAAAGGTAAGATTGACTGAATACACTGGTTGATTAAGAGTTGTTAATAATTTTTACAGTGATTGAGACTGGGCTGTTCTTATAGCGATCAGTACGTGCTCGTATGGGCTGGAGTCGGTTGTGGTGTCGAACTGCAATTCACGGACGAGGGATCTCGGGTGGAAGTAGGAGCCGGTGTCGAGGATGGTGTAGAAGATTCTCACCAAATTTGCAGATGAGGTCGCGGTGTTGATCAAAAAGAACCAAGAGGGTCAGTGTGTTGAGCACTTCTTTATATGTGGAGTAGGAAGGGGAGAGAATAATCTCGCATGCCCTCTTTTTCACTTCTTCTAGGAGTTTCCGTTGTGTGACCTTCACGGGGGAAGACCAGGCAGGGAAGACATAGGTGAGCTTGAGAAGTATGAATGTTGAGTAAACACTGAGGAGCTCGGGTGCAGGAACTCCGAGGAACTTGAGTCGGCGGAGGAGGTGGAGACGAAAACTGTAGGATTTGACAACTGTAATGACGTGTGTTTTCCAATTTAGTGTATTGGAGCCCAAAGTAATGGAGGGAGGTGGGACAAGGTCGGAGGAGAGATTGATGTGCATAACCATGGTCTTAGTATGGTTGATGGTGACGTGGTTGTTGGTGGCCCAATCTTGGAGACTGTTCAATAAATCCTGGAGGGCAGTGTAGTCGGGAGCCGAGCTGTTGACACTGATCCCAATGGTGGAGTCGTTGACATATTTCCAGCGAGCAGAGGTTTCTCTTAGGGCATCATTGATAAGCATAAGGAAGCAGAGCAGTCCCATCTTGGTGCCTTGGGGGACGCCACAGGTAAATGAGTGAAAAGTGGAGACAGCCCCTCGGAAATGTAAGGCTTGGCGTCAGTCACTAAGGAAGTCTGAAAGACATGGTATAAGAATTCTTCAAAATCCGAGGTCAATAGCTTTGTTGATGATTAAATTGTTGTCGACTAGGTCAAATGCTTTGGTGAAATCAATGAAGGCGACAGCCACAGACGTCTTTTGTTTTTCCAGATGGCGGTACAGTATATGTAGTCGAGAAAGCTAACAAGACTGTGAGTGGTGAAGGAAGTTTTGGTATTGCCAAATTTCTGAGGATCTATGGCGTCTGCAATATCAGCATAAGCCCAGCCAAACACGAAACATTCACAGATCAAGCTGGGTATTGGGGTGATGGCAATGGGTCGTAGCAGATTTAAGGATTGTGGGCTGGTTAACTTGGGCACTGGTGACACATATGAGGTCCTCCAGTCAGCTGGGCATCTGGCTTGACTGAGGGAAGCATTGATGGTGGAGCAGAGGGTTTAGCTAGTTCCGGGGTGAACTCCTTGTGTTGTTTCATTGGTAAGTAAATGGTGGTGGTGGTGGAGCGCTTTAGCTTCAGTTTGTCCAAACGTTTTGCTACGTCAAAGTCTTCCACTAAGTCAGTGGGAAAGGGTGATAGTAGGTAAGCAGGGAGACTGGTTGTGTCAAGTCGGGGGAGCATCTGGCACACAGTTGCGAAATGGTTGTTTGATTGCTCAGCTGCGTCACCATTAGTGAGATGGCCAAGGAATGGAAGGGGGTGTGTCTTATTGTTTAGTCCACAGAGTCAGCTGGGTGTGATCTGACGGATTTCTCTGGGAAGAAGTGGTGGTGAGCTTCCGTGGTGGTGTTGGTGTAATTTATCCATTTGGTTTCCACGTCATCCACACTAAGTATTTCAGTCCAGGGATGGTGAACTATCCACTGCCCGAAGAGACGCAATGAAGAGTCAGTAATCAGCCTGTAGGTCTTGATGTAGGGTGTCTGCACTTGGCTGGTAGAGGGAGCTGGAGACCAGAACATTAATAGGTGTGCACTACACCGGATAGGAGTCATTGGTTGAGGTGGTTGGTACTGGTCCGCTAAGTCAGTTAAGATAAGGTCAAGGGTATTTTGACTGTATGTGGGGAAGTTCACAGCTTGTGATAGTAGAACTGGTCCTGGATATCAGTGGTGTCAATTTCGTTATAATCCTCACATAATAATAGCTTGGCACATGGGTACCTAACTCTGAGGTGGTAATGAGGTGACTGATAAGAGTGTCTCTGGTGGGTGGGCGGATGGTATGCCACACAGTATACGTTAGAAGCAGTATGACGAGGGTGGGCACGAGGCACAACACGTACCCATAATGCTTCCACATCAGCTGGGACTAAAACATCCAGGCGTGACGGGCGTAGTTCATCTTGACAGAAGAAAGCAACGCCCCCTCCACGCCCATGTGAACGAAGGTGAAGAAATAGTTGATATCCTTCAATGTGGCACATTTCAGGAACAATTTGCAGAGACCGATCGGACTGTCGTTGCCAGTTCGTCAAATTTATTAGCTAAGGAAGTGACGTTGGAGAGCAGTAGGGAGGGGCGATCGTACCATATTCGTGGAACTTCAGTGCGTTGGTATGGTCTGTCAGGAGTAGGTTTCTCTGGTTTTCTAGGGGAGGTGATACTCTTGACGAGCTTCCGCGTATGACATCCTTGTCTATGGCTGCGAGCATGGAATATGTTCAGTGATTTCAGTCGCGCAATAACACTGCCATCAGGAAATTCATACTAAATGTTACATAATACTTCCTTGAGATAAATGTATAGTATATATCAGGTGCCTCAAAGAGAGCTCAGGTTCTCAACTGGCTCAGCCATGTTAATATTGTTATAATTATCCACTCTGTATCTGTATTTTTCTGGCTAAATAAACTGTTACAATTCAATTCATGCTTTAAATTGTACAGGGCGTGTCTGGAGTAAGTCAGTGGTGGACATCTGTTGATACCTGTTGTTGTGGAAGTGTTTGTCCGTGGTGGCCATAAACTCAATGACGGCACTTTGAGGGCCACTGACATCTGTTAACATTTGTCTAGTCGTAAACACCGCGGTGGTCCTTGTCTCCGGCACTTTGAAGGTGACCGACAAAGAGCACACGGTCTGGTATTACACCGCTGTGAATCAAACTTGTTTTTGTGTCTTTACTTGTTATAAACCATCGGATCACTGTGTGGTAACCAATTATTGCACTGATCACTTGAATGTGTTGCTGATAGATCACAGTGTAGTGAGCTAGGTAGGGTGTCGGGAGTCGGGATAGAGCAGCGGGGGAAGGGGGGAGCCAAAGAGACTCGGCCTGACAGCCAATCAGGAGCGCCTACAGAACACGTCTTGTCTCACTGAGGGCTGACTGATGTATGTGTGTGTGTGTGTATGAGGGAGTCGTCAGTTATACACACACACACACACACACACACATACATACATACATACATACATACATAAACAGATACACATGCATATGTAAATACACAAAACCTTACATACGTACACAAAAAATATGTACAAAGACAGATTCAGACACATATATACATACAGTACACAGACACTCCAGCACGTACTCGTATACATACACAGATTGAAAACAAACACAAACGCACAAACTCACGCAGACACAAAAACATCACACAAACACAACCACACATAAACAAACACACATAAAAACAAAAAGACAAACACATACACCACACACATGAACACAAACACCTGGATAACTGAACACCGGGATAACTGAACACCTGGATAACTGAACACCTGGATAACTGAACACCTGGATAACTGAACACCTGGATAACTGAACACCTGGATAACTGAACACCTGGATAACTGAACACCTGGATAACTGAACACCTGGATAACTGAACACCGATAACTGAACACCTGGATAACTGAACACCTGGATAACTGAACACCTGGATAACTGAACACCTGGATAACTGAACACCTGGATAACTGAACACCTGGATAACTGAACACCTGGATAACTGAACACCTGGATAACTGAACACCTAGATAACTGAACACCTGGATAACTGAACACCTGGATAACTGAACACCTGGATAACTGAACACCTGGATAACTGAACACCCGGATAACTGAACACCTGGATAACTGAACACCTGGATAACTGAACACCTGGATAACTGAACACCTGGATAACTGAACACCTGGATAACTGAACACCTGGATAACTGAACACCTGGATAACTGAACACCTGGATAACTGAACACCTGGATAACTGAACACCTGGATAACTGAACACCTGGATAACTGAACACCTGGATAACTGAACACCTGGATAACTGAACACCTGGATAACTGAACACCTGGATAACTGAACACCTGGATAACTGAACACCTGGATAACTGAACACCTGGATAACTGAACACCTGGATAACTGAACACCTGGATAACTGAACACCTGGATAACTGAACACCTGGATAACTGAACACCTGGATAACTGAACACCTGGATAACTGAACACCTGGATAACTGAACACCTGGATAACTGAACACCTGGATAACTGAACACCTGGATAACTGAACACCTGGATAACTGAACACCTGGATAACTGAACACCTGGATAACTGAACACCTGGATAACTGAACACCTGGATAACTGAACACCTGGATAACTGAACACCTAGATAACTGAACACCTGGATAACTGAACACCTGGATATCTGAACACCTAGATAGCTGTATACCTGGATAACTGAACACCTGGATAACTGAACACCTGGATAACTGAACACCTGGATAACTGAACACCTAGATAACTGAACACCGGGATAACTGAACACCTGGATAACTGAACACCTGAATAACAGAACACCTAGATAACTGAACACCGGGATAACTGAACACCTGGATAACTGAACACCCTGGATAACTGAACACCTGGATAACTGAACACCTGGATAACTGAACACCTGGATAAACTGAACACCTGGATAACTGAACACCTGGATAACTGAACACCTGGATAACTGAACACCTGGATAACTGAGCACACAGATAACTGAACACCTGGATAACTGAACACCTGGATAACTGAACACCTAGATAACTGAACACCTGGATAACTGAACACCAGGATAACTGAACTGCCTGGATAACTGAACACCTGATGTGACACCTGGATAACTGAACACCTGGATAACTGAACACCCCTAGATAGCTGTACCTGGATAACTGAACACCTGGATAACTGAACACCTGGATAACTGAACACCTGGATAACTGAACACACAGATAACTGAACACCTGGATAACTGAACACCTGGATAACTAGACACCTAGATAACTAGCACCTGGATAACTGAACACCTGGATTGTCTGAACACCTATGAATAGCTGTATACCTGGATAACTGAACACCTGGATAACTGAACACCTGGATAACTGAACACCTGGATAACTGAACACCTAGATAACCTGGATAACTGAACACCTGGATAACTGAACACCTAGATAACTGAACACCGGGATAACTGAACACCTGGATAACTGATCACCTGAATAACAGAACACCTAGATAACTGAACACCGGGATAACTGAACACCTGGATAACTGAACACGTGGATAACTGAACACGTGGATAACTGAACACCTGGATAACTGGACACCTGGATAGCACAACACCTGAATAACATAACACCTGCATAACTGAACACGTGGATAACTGAACACCTAGATAACTGAACACCCGGATAACTGATCGCCTGGATAACTGAACACCTAGATAACTGTATACCTGGATAAAAACACCTGGATAACTGAACACCTGGATAACTGAACACCTGGATAACTGAACACCTGGATAACTGAACACCTAGATAACTGGATACCTGAATAACTGAACACCTGGATAACAGAACACCTGGATAGCACAACACCTGAATAACATAACACCTGCATAACTGAACACCTGGATAATGGAACACTTGGATAATGGAACACCTGGATAATTACGAACTCACCTGTTCTACCCAGAGGTTGGTCGTCATGATCTGGTTCTTGAGGTTCTGGAAAGAGAAAGAGAACATTAACACCACCGCCAAGAACACTTAGAAGAACACGTTGAACAATATGGCGTCAGAAAGAGAACATTAACACCACCCCCAAGAACACTTAAAAGAACACGTTGAACAATATGGCGTCAGAAAGAGAACGTTAAAACCACCCACCAAGAACACTTTGAAGAACACGTTGAACAATATGGCGTCATAAATTAATTGCGGTTCTACCTTGATTAGATATTTTCACTCAATAATGAATAAAATTAATCTATATAACTTTCTAGTATTTGTTTATCTGTTTTTTATCTGTTCCTCAATAACACCTTTAAATGCGTACTTTAATTTGTTCCTTAATACTAGAGAACAAATCTTGAAAAATTACCTAAAGTGAGTTATTTTCTTTACTAGAACACCTACAATTAGCAATAGTTGGAAGAAGAACAATAACACTTGAGAAGAACTCTTTAAAATTAATTAGAATATATCATTCTCTTCACTAGAGCGGCTATGCAAGAATGAAGAACAACTCTCAGTGGTGTAAAGATCCTCTATAAACAAAACAGAGACTCGCGCCAGGATTCAGTGGGACTTGTGACCCACCAAAACACAGGAACTAAAGAAGAACAACTCTCAGTGGTGTAAAGATCCTCTATAAACAAAACAGACTCGCGCCAGGATTCAGTGGGACTTGTGACCCACCAAAACACAGGAACTAAAGAAGAACAACTCTCAGTGGTGTAAAGATCCTCTATAAACAAAACAGACTCGCGCCAGGATTCAGTGGGACTTGTGACCCACCAAAACACAAAAACTTAAAATCTCTTGGTGATCCGACGATCTTTTGAAGAGCCGATGATGGTTTTTAACTTGGGTATATTAGGCGGAAGGAAACTACAGGCTACCCTATGTGTTATTGGAACCTTGTGATGAAAATATATGATAAGAATTTATTTTATATTTGTTGTTAGAACTACATTATGCAGTCCAGATAGATAGATATATAGATAAGTAGATAGATAGATAGATAGATAAGTAGATAGATAGATACGTAGATAGATAGATAGATAGATAGATAGATAGATAGATAGATAGATAGATAGATATACATACATAATAATGGTTGCCCCTCGTGAAACAAGGACAGCCGGCCCAAGAGCCACCTAGGAGAGGCGAGCATGCAGACCATTACACCACAGGTCGCCATACAGACATAGAGTGAGAGAGGGAGGCAGGAGGATCAACATCACCTGATCGTGAGTTAATTAACACTATTACCTGCCCGACTCACCTCACCTGATCTGTCCTCTCACCTCTCTTTCCCTTTCTCACTCTCCCATTTTTTCTTCTTCCCTTTTCTCCTTTTATTTCTCTCACTATCTTTTTGTTTATTTCTATTCCTTCTTCCTTCCCTCCGTTCCTCTCTTCCCTTCACTCTTCCTCTCCTCCCGTTTCACTTCCTCTCCCTCCTCTCCATTACCACTTCCTTCCTCCCCCTTCTCTTCTTCCCATCCCTTCCCTCCTCTCTTCCTTCCTTCGTTTCCTCCCTCTCCTCCTCCTCCCCTTCCCTTCCCTCCTCTCTTCCTTCCTTCGTTTCCTCTCCCTCCTCTCCCCTTCCTTCCCTCCTCTCTTCCCACCTCCTTCGTTTCCTCCCTCCTCCTCCTCCCATCCTTCCTCCTCTCTTCCCTCCTTCCGTTTCCTCCCTCCCTCCTCCTCCCTTCCCTTCCCTCCTCTGCCTCCATCCTTCCTCCTCTCTTCCCTTCACTCTTCCTCTCCTCCCGTTTCACTTCCTCTCCCTCCTCTCCATTACCACTTCCTTCCTCCCCCTTCTCTTCTTCCCTTCCCTTCCCTCCTCTCTTCCTTCCTTCGTTTCCTCCCTCCCCTCCTCCTCCCCTTCCCTTCCCTCCTCTCTTCCTTCCTCCTCCCTTCCCTTCCCTCCTCTC